AAAAAAAAAACCCTAGATACCTAAAGAACATATTCCTCCTGCAACCTAAGTATAAAATCAATGAGGATGAAACTAAACATGCATTTTGTATTCCAGTAAATTAAAGAGGACTTCTGGTTGTACAGCATAATATAAAACCAGATCTTCTCAAGTTCATTTTCAAAGCTAAAAACAGCAATTTGAGTGTACAAAGCCGTTATTTTAAGTTTACATCTCACAACACAATGCTGCACGTTTAGCACTCACCGCCTCTAGAAACAAGCCCTAGTAACTTCTTAGCAAATGGATCTATTCAAGACTTTCTTTTGACTAAAGGCTGTAATACTCCAACACCAAACTACGTCTCTGTTTAAGACAAACTTAATGGCATGCACTTAACCAGGCAGAGCTACTTGCAAAACATACACAACAGGGGCTGTTACATAAATACATACAGTGCCTTTATTAACACTTGAATACCACAGTATCTACCTGTTTGTTTACAAGAAAGAATTGTAGGTCTTTAAACAAATACTTTATAAACTCACCATTTTCCTTCCACCAACAGATTTTAAAGAGAGGTAAATGTACATTTATTTACAAATTCTTTGCAAGTGAAATAACTCGTGTAGCTTAAAAACAAAGTCAAACACTTTTAGAAACGAACACTAAACATACAAACCTTGAATAGGGAAGGGGAGGAAAGGGACATTAACAAAAGAAGAAATAACTGTTCAGAGCTGGAAATTATGCCAGTATTCTTTCTCAGAATAAGTCATTAACCCTCAGAAAGGTTAGACACAGAACTCTTCATTTCTCCAAGCAACACAGATATCCATCTACAAACGGACGTATCAGTTGTCTATATATTTACTAGGGAGGGTACAAGGGAACAGAGTTTGAATTTGTGTTACTGAGCTTTTGTCTCTTACCTTTTCATTTTGCAAAAGACCACATTCTCTATAAACAAAAGAATATGTTGACAGTTTTAGGCAGGAAGATAGGAGTTTATTCATGAATAAAGTTGCCTAACCTCCATGCTGAAAGTCATGTCTAACCAATAATGTTAGCCTTAATTAATTGTCAGTTAAAGTTAAATATTACAAAAAAATTATCTGAAAGTCATGCATATAAAAATAATTCTCATGCAACATTAGTTTCATGCAAAAGGTGATCTATAAGTAGACCTGTTTTCATTAAGTAGCTTGGGAATCAAGGCTTATCTCGTAACTGAATAAAGAATCTGCAAAGACATATTTCCTCTTACCTTTAAAATAGCCACCATAAATAGATTCACCTCCTTTTCCATTACCTACGCATTAAAAAGCATGAATTAAACTTTTTGCTTCATTTATGAAAAAAAGCTATATGCAACATTCCACCAGTTTGTATCAAACCAGGATGCTCTGGCCAGTTACTAATTAAGGAGCTTATGTTCCGATACTAAAAGCCACAGCCGTGCATTATCCCACTGACACTCAAAACATTGAGAATGAAGATTGCCTTAGTGCCTCCTAACGCTGGGAAGTCTGAAGCAGGGCTCCAAAGGCTAATCCTCACTGGTATTTGCTAAAGCAATGGCAGACAGCGAAACAACAGCAGCAAGCAGGGAAAAAAGACAGTAGGTATGACCAACAACCAAAGCAGCTGAGAGCCCGCTAGAATGGATGAGATAAGGAAGCAGCTAGCAGTTTTAAAGGCACTCATCCTTGACTCTCAAAACAAGATATTCCCTCACTGAGCCCATTTTATCAGATACAAGAATTCAGGACACAACGAAGAAGATACACGTTTTGTAAGGACAGGTATTCCAGGGAAGGACAACAGGCAAAACCATTATGTTGGACACGTACTGCAGGGAAGGAAACAAAGAAACTCCTGGAAAATCTCCTTTTGGAGACTTATATGTTAAACACTTCTAGCTCATTTATTAAAGATAATTAAAAAAAAAGAAACTTATTCAAGTAGTTAGGTCCCTGACTCAACAGAGCACAGTTTTGCCTCTACTGCGGACACAAAAGTGAAAAGCAGTAAGACTACAGTTTGGATTTGAATTGTTTTAAGAAGATAGGTGTTAACTCCAGCAAGGGTTTACGTTTTTGGTTTTCTTTTCTTAACATATTTTCTAAATAAATATTACTTCAGGTGAAACATTTTAGAATTTTAAAGATTAACATAGAGAAATGGGTGATCTGTGCAATACCTCACAGCAAATGAAATGTTTTTATGGCACTATAATGCTTTGATGGCATTTTCTAAAGTTACATTATAACCATAGAAGTTATAACACTTCTGCTTAAAACCCCGCAGCTTTAGAAGTGTATTTTACCTTCACTGAAGTCCCCACCCTGAATCATGAAGTTTTTAACCACACGATGGAATGTAGTGCCTTTGTACCACAGCTTCTTTCCGGTTGTTTTGCCGGTTCCTTTTTCACCTGCAAGAAGATTAAACAAGAAGAATCTACAGATTGTCACTGAACAAGTTCCAAGGGTTTTGCCTCATAAGACAGCCATCAGAATAACACAACTGTGAAAGATAACAGTCCTGCCTCTTCACCGCCCATTAATAGCAGAAGGGACCCATTTACAAGGGGACTCTCAAATGAAAATGAGGTTTCTTCTTAAAAAACATTTTCTTCCCTCCCAAGAAGGAGAGTACCTATTAGCAATCCACTCAGAACAATTTATAAGAAAACAAGAGTTCATAATAATGATGGGTTGACTATTTTCTGTGGTTACAGCTACACTGCTGTCTTAGCTGAAGCTTATACCCGAGTCCTTTTCAAACTGCTTATACATCTGGATGCGCCAGCTGAATCCCAGGACAGAAATCTGAGCTCAGAACAGGCTTCAACTCAGCTTCGATGAGATTCACATTTGGAAAAGTGAGACTGAGCTACCCAAGCACGTGTCACATCTTCACCAGTCCATGCACAGTGTCAGGCCAGCCCTTGATGTCAATCTGCCTGGCATCAACCCTTACCATCTCAGTATGAAACTCACACAAAACTCCCATTTCTGAAAAGACTGACAGAAGAGGGGAAAAAAAATTGTGTATACAAGAACCATTCCAGGATGAGTTGAATGAGAATCATAATGGGGGGTGGGGAATATTCCCCAAACCCTGAAATGGTATCAGGGCCATTCTTACCCAGCAGCAGAAGCCAAGCCAGGCCATGGTACTTGTTAATCCTTTCTGAGCCTGAGATTTCCTAAGAAGTGGCACTCTGGACTCCCAGTGAGCTGCAGTTCAAGCCTACTGGTGATTTTTGAGAAAGGCATCCCAGAACCTCAAGCTTCATTAACATTTC